ATTTTTACCTTGGATGAAAATAAGGAAAAAAGATAATAAACCGTTAATTGAAAAAAAAAGCTTCAAATTATTGAACAGCTTGCACTGCACATGTGGAGTAAATTATCCAGCAATAAAATTAAAACCCCAAACCCTAACCAAATTAAAACAAAGAAAAAGCCAAAATTAGAGGAGAAAAAGAGATGAAGATGAATCAAGAACAACCCAATCAAATCAAAACCTAACCCTAACCAAATTTAATCTATTGAATGAAAGTCGCGATGAGCTTGATTCTTCTTTTCTTTATTCAATTCAATTCGTAGTAGCTAAATTCTTCTCTTCTCCCTCGCTATCGAATTTTAAAATCCCTAATCCTAACCAAATCAAATCTATACTCTAATAATTTTCTTATGGAACTAGAAAATTCATCATATAGATCAAGATACCCAATTGAAATAAAGTTTAAATATTGCTATTGTCAATGTGGAGAATGAGATCAATTCAAGATGGCATGGACAAAAAAAAAAAATTATAGAAGATATTTTTTTAGTTACCCAAGGTATAAGGAGAAAAGTAGGGCTTGTGCAGCTTTTGAGTTTGTTGACCTAGATTGGTGCAAACATGTTGCTAGAGTTATGCCAAGGTTGTTTTTAACAATTGATGAGTTTAAGAGAGATAATGAAGGGAAAGCCTTGAAATATAGGATTTATAAACAAGCATTGATTTTTTTTTTTTTTTATGGAGATTGTTTATTGCTAGTTAGGCTAGATAATAGTCAAGAATTAAAGTCTAGTTTTCTAAGCATCATGATTTTGGATGCTTTGTTATTGGATGGGTTGCTAATATGTGGTGGGTTAGTGTTTTTTGTAACACTATATTGTTGTTCTCATCACCGATTGTCTTTTTTTTTTTTTTCGTTTTCGGGGACCATGAATGAATCCATTTTCTGTCGGGTTTCAAACTGGAATTTTAATTATGTGTGAAACCTATTTGATGCATTTCTTTTTGAGTTATGCTTTGAGAATTTTTATTTCGGATCGGATCGTAGTGCTTGATTCTCCTAGTTGAGAAGTTGTGCTTTCTTCTAAAGCTTTTCATTTTAGAAGTTTTGAAGGTATAACTTGGAGTGCAGTCTTTCCAAGACTCGTGTAAAGGCTGGACACTTCTAGAGTACTTATCAACTATAGAAAATCGAGAGATTAAACACGTTTGTATCACCACCTTAAGATTAAACATGTTAAGGACTACCACCTTGCGATTAAACATATTTTGAATATGAAAGAAAATCATAAAGTCCTCGGGTTTGGACTTTGGATTTAGATGAAGACAAAGGAAAAAAAAACAAACAAAAGCTATAGGAAACAAGTTCAAGGTGGACAATCCAATGATACAACATTTACAAAGCATATTCATTCTTTCCACTATCCATTTATATCACACTGGAAAAATGATTAACTTGTTTGACACTAATCAATAAAATTATACAAACAAAAATATGATGTTTAAATGAATCCATGACTTTCTTAGTTCTTTTTCTATAATTTTGTTTGCTAGATATAACGTGTTATTTTAACTATTTATGGTTTATTCAAGGTTTAAGGCTTTTTAAAAGTAATTTGTGGACCATGAATGAATCCATTGTCTATCATGTTTTGAACTGGAATTATTAATTATGTATGAACCCTATTTGGTGCATTACCTTTTGAGTTATGCTTTGAGAATTTTTGTTTTAGATCAGATTCTAGTGCTTTGTTCTTCTAGTTGAGAAGCTATACAAAGCCTTTCATTTTAGAAGTTGTGAAAGTACGGTCTTCCCGAGACTATGTAAAGGCTTGACACTTTTAGAGTACTTATTAACCATAGAAAATCAAAGATTAAACATGTTTGGACCACCAACTTGAGATTAAACATGTTCTGAATATGAAGAAAATCATAAAGTCCTCAAGTTTGGAGTTTGGAGTTTGGATGTAGATGAAGATAAAGAAACGGAACAAATAAAGCTATAAGAAACAAGTTCAAGGCAGAGAATCCAATGATACAACATTTACAAAGCATATTCATTCTTTCCACTATCCATTTATATCATATTGGAAAAAAAATAATTAACTTGTTTGACACCTATCAATAAAATTATACAAAAATCAATACGATGTTTAAATGTAAATACAATAAATCAATATTCATTTCTTTTAATTCCAAAATGAAATCATATTCTAACTTTGTTAAAACAAAATATTCTCTTATTAAAAAAAAAATCAAAGTAAATTTAATGGTCTACTAAGCTACTGGTACAAGCAATAAAACAAAATGCAATGAGCATTTTTAATTTATTCTAATCATATTCAAAACTCATGTTCCAACGAGTCAACAAAAAAAGACTACAAAATTATGGACCACTATCTATTCGAATATAAACTAAATTCTCTTTCTTCGCCACTCGCCCCTACCCCTACCCTTTCTTTTGCCTCTCTCACCTATAGTTGTGTTCTTTCCAACTTCATGTGCTACATATGAACATTATTGAATTACCATCAAAATTAACAAAGATGATCAAGTTTTGTATAATGAAACACTATTTACTAACTTAGAAAACTAGGCCAACACCATGACCTAATTCAATAACCCTTGGGTAGTTGGCATTTTATTCAGTTTATAACTCAAACCATAGGATCATAAAAGCATTTCAATTTACAACACAATCAATCAATAACAAGAAATTTAAACTTTTAAACATACCATGCTTTATGGTTAAGAAACTATAACAACATCAATAATAGATATCCTTTTTTATTTCCTTAATGTTTACAATTGAAGGATTAACTTCACCATCGCCACTAGATCTAGAGTTTGCATTTGAAGGCCTTACATTATCGATAACGACAACCCTTTTTTTAGATCTAATCTTAACTTTTTAAAGCCCTACACTATTAATAATAACAACCCTTTTTTTCAATATCTATTCCTAACTTTTGGAGCGTTTGCAATTATAGGTTTAGTACATCTCTTAATATTATGTCCAATTTATCTATAATGAGAACGTTTGTTATATTAAACTTTAAGTTCTAGAACATACCCTATCTTTGATTTATCTCGCCCTCTTCTTTTGTTCTTTTTGGGTTTACCAATTAGCTTTTTTACTTGCTAAGGTATAATTTGCATAACAAGTTACTAACCATTGATCCTCACCAAGTATAGGATATAGAAATGGTTCATATGTTTGCATCCGTATCTTCTTTATGTAACACATATAAATAAATTCTTTAGGTGATCTTTTAGTACCATAGATTGCATGATGGCATGCTCATAAGGAATATCAAACAACTACCATTTGTTGCATCTATAAGTCCATTTGTTAATATCAACTAAAAGCCTTTTAGATTTATAAGAAACTTGATAAATCCTATTTTTAGCATATATAGGCCTACAATTATATATCAATATCTTAATCTTCTTAAGTTCCTTTAAGATTTTTAGACAAACTTTATGTGGATGTTGTTTAATTCCTACTCTCTTCTTATGGTATCTCTTCCTCAATTTTATCCTTAGATCTTCGAGTCATGCAAATCATAGGTTTCTCCCTTAATTCTAAGATGTATGCATTAAGAGTTTCAAATAAATTATTCACCATTAAATCTGTCTTGTTTTATGGATTAAATGTGTACTTACAATGTAAATTTCTATCAATGTTAGGATGATATGCATGTGCTTGTTCATACTTTGATTAATGGATTAGATGTGTACCTATAACACTAGTGTAGGTCAACGTTTGAAAGTTATGCATGTACTTTTGCAAAATTTTTCTTCATGTCTTCCATGATTTTCTTATGCTCTTTTCCGATGCCTTCCATAAAAAATCATTTAGATCTTTTCCTCTATGTCCGGCATCCCTAAAGTTGCCATAAAGATTCCTAACATAGTATCTATGATGGACATTAGGGAAATGATTTTTCAAGGTCTCTATGAGTCTTTACAAAACAGAAAAAATTAGTTTGATTTTATATATACAAATATTCAAACAAAGGGACTTTAAATAAAGGGAAAACTTATTACCTTTAGCCTCTCGGACATTAAAACCTAGCCATGTCTCTCTACGGTTCCAATACATGCAAAAAGACGAGTAAGAAACCAAGTTTAAGTTGCTTTGTTCTCTTTTTAAACAATTACAAATACAACCAGATAGAAGTTGTCATTTGCATCCCTTACAACCGCACTCAAGATTTAACCCCCATAAGGCCCTTTTAAAAAACCTACATCAATCCCAATCAATCTCCTACAACCATGCATGCCTTTAAGTTGACCAACAAATCTCATAAACAAACAACTTAACACCGAATTCAAGCTTGTGCAAGTGAAACGACTTAAATTTTCACTTAAATTCTAACAATTTTTTATTCTAAAGCTTTAGCATAATCCCATAACATCGCATACTATTTTTTTATGATCTCCAATAACTTTTTCAATAGCTAAATTTCGTGCCTTATAGGCGAGTTGATCTTGAAACACCAACTTTGAAATCTCTACACTATCATTCATTAAAAACACTTAACCTCTATTTCTTATCATCCTTAAAATGGTCCGCATATTCTTCACTTGGCCATTTCTTCCCCACATTTCTATTTTTGAAATGCCACCCACAATTATGCTTTTTCCTAAATATTTTAACTTGAAAATATTCTTCATTACGGACTTTGTAAACATGAATTGTCCATCCATATGTTTGGCTACACTTAACAATTACCCTAACCTTGTCATCCTTAACATATTTGAAATCCCTTCGTATATTAATTGAATGCTTCTTCAATGCATTCCCGAATACATCTTAAAATAGGGATTTTTTTATATCTTTTTCGAGTGCCAAACTCTTCAATTCTAATTCTTCTAACCTTATTAATCTCATTATCAAAACAAACCAGGGACTCTAACTTATTACTTTTACTTGTATCGGAACTATTTCTAGAATCATTTTCATGCATAGCGTCTCTCATATTTTTCCTTGGGAACATAGACTTTTTTAACATCAACTACATGTGCCCTTTCAACATCATTAACAAGTATGCCAAACAAGTCTTCATCATTAAAGGACTCATCAATAAACCTTTCAATATTTTTTCATCAAACTCATTATCATCCTCTTCATGATCTCCATCGTCCGCTTCATTATTCCCATCATCTTTATTACCTCTCAAACCATCCATGTTATTATTCTATTCGAGTCCATCAACCATAAAGCATTTATCATCATCATCTTTATTGCTTTATAATAGTCTTCAACTTCATTATAGTCTACCCCAATCTCAACTTTTTTAACAAATCTAGGAACATTTTCAACTACTAAAGCACCATTACTAGCATCAACATTGCCATCACCAACGCCTACTATTGCTTGTTCTACAAGATTTGAAGGTGCTACATCATTGTTCTCTCCAATAAATCCATCTCTAATTGGTTCTAAACTAGGAGTTTCTAAGTTATAATCAACATATAACGATATAGCATTCAACCCATTAGCCCTATACATATCAATAACCCGATTATCATTTTGAAAAATATAATTCCCGAAATACTTGGCTGGACATAATAGATTTCATCTCCAAATAAATAAATAAGCTACCTTTTTACAAAAAAAATAAAAAAAAAAAAACTAATGTAGTTAGGATCTATACCAGTTACATCTTCTATTTCTTCTTTTTTTCCATTAACATAATACTTGACACCATTTTCGGTAGTTATTTGACCCTTAAATGTATTTCATAACTTGGTCTCCATGCCATTTTGTTAAAAACCAAGAAATAGCCTATTAAAATTTGAAACAAAGGTATGTTTGTTTAACAAAGAAAAATCAAAGAAAATACATGAATGATGTCATAAAAAAAATACCCACAAAACTAATTCAACAATCAAAAATGAATTTTAAAAAAAATAAATAAAAGAAAATAGATGAATAGTGTACCTTTCTTGTCTAAAAACTAATAATGCTTCTTTGCATCCAAATGCTTTCAATAAACATGATTCAAATATGCATTTTAGTTTTGAATTGGTTAGGGTTAGTTAGAATTTGGAAGTGAAAGAGAAGAGAAGAATTTGGTTGCTTTAAATTTAATTCGACATATTAAATTTGGTTAGGGTTAGGTTTTGATTCGATTGGGTTGTTCGTCTTTGTCTCTTCTCTTTTAATTTTGGGTTTTTCTTTGTTTTTATTTGGTTAGGGTAAGGGGTTTTGATTTTGTTGCTAGATAATTTGCCCCACAAGTGCGAGTGCACGTGTTCAATAAGTTGAAGCCACCTTCTTTTTTTTTCAATTACTCGAGTTCTTATTTTTTTTCTTATTTTCATCTATGGTCAAAACAGATCGAACACTTATAAAATTTAAATGTTCAGACTATTTTGACAAATAAGATACAATTGGAAACATAAGGATAAATGAGAGATATATGGTATTATATAAGGACACATGAGTATGTTTATTAACTATTTTTAGCTATTGCATGGTTATTTGTCCACACTTTCACTTATTCATATATTGTTGAGAACTCTTTTGCTCGAATCATTATGAATGCTTAATGTTTACCTAAGCTTAATGTTAAATGTTTCTTTTGTAAAGCTCTAAGGCGCTTTGATTTGTAGAGAATTCTTTTGTTCGAATTATTATGCATGCTTTTCAGATTATGGTGTACTATCGACTTCTATCAATAACATGGTCTAACTAACTCTAACAAACTCTAAGTTTACAAATATTTATACATTGCCATAAACTGATTTTTTATTTCTGCTGCAGATGTGATGACATATAATATGAGCATAGAGAACACGAATTCTGAGAAAGTTATGAGAAATAAAGAAGGACTAATACCATTGTTAGTTTAGTTGTTTTCTATTATGTTTTCATGTGTTGTACAAAATGACAACAGAATTTTTTAATTTTCTTCATATAAAACTGTATTTACATATGTCACGCACATTTAAATATTGAGCATTATTTAGCTCAATAAATCAATATTGTTTTTTTTGTTTTTAAATGATTCTACCTATACCACCTAACTTGTAGTGTAACGTAGATAACAAACTAATAAAGTACTATATAAAAAGAAGAATGGGTCCTTGATTCCTTTAACCTTTCCAACCAATAAATATTGTTAGAACTTTTGTTTCTCCAATGGAGTTCCAAATTCTATTTATTATTGGGTTCAATTACTTACTCTCAATAATTTTTGTAATATCTGTTTAGAAAAGTAACCAAGCGTACCATTTTCGTTTTCCTTTTCTTTTTTTCATTTGTTTTTGCAAGAATACCATTGAGCTTCTACGTATTAACTTAAAAGCAATGAGTTTTGCTCTTGACGCGCATAATATTAAATCATTAAAAAATATATATGGAGGAAAAATATGTGAAGGATGCTATATTGAAGCAAATTAAAAAAAAAAAAAAAAAACACATTGTGTTCAAGTTTCCAACTGAATTGGTTTTTCCCGAGTCTAAGACTGCCCATATTAATTAGCATCTTTCCTCTATAACTAATAAAAATAAAAACGTGCTTGGCTTGCCTGATTAAATATTCCCCGCTTGTGCTATAAAATCAATTCATGCATTTTGTGTGCTAAGGGGGTCATCAGAATAACTACGGTTGTGCTATAAAATTAATTCATGCATTTTGTGTGCTAAGGGTCGTCAGAAAATATATATATGCGCATGCGTACCCGCACGCTCAAATTTCTAACTAAATTGGTTTTTGTATGCTTATGTGTGTGAGTGAATGCTCAATTTTCTAACCTAAATTTGCTTTTCGTAATCCTGAGACTACCTAAATTAATTGGCATTTTTCCCCTACAACTAATAAAAATATATCAATAGGTTTCTAGTTTAATAGGAGTGATTTGTTTGCACTTGCAAGAAATTGCAAGTTTTTTTTTTTTTTTTTTTTGAGTATTTGAATTTAAAAAAACCTCATTGTTGTAATAGATTAGAGTAGTATTTCATTTTTTCAATGATAGTCAATTCAATTTGGCGTAATAATAGGCTCTTTTATCTTATTTTGCTAAATATTAACTATTAATATTAACCTTTGAAGAATTTACAAATAATGTCTGCAGTAAAATCTTATCTATGAAAAAAAATAATAATAATAATAAAATAAAATAAAATAAATTGCTTGTCGTACTTTTTTGGCACAAGAAATGTGCTTGGCGTGGTTGATTAAATATTTGCCTTGTTGTTTTGTAAAATTAATTCACGCATTTTTAATGTGTTAAAAGGGGTCACCAGAACAACCAATAAAAAGTGTGAATTAGTTGAAACGAACAAAAATGCTAAATTGACCTCACTGTGAGAAAAAAGGATTTGATAATTAAATTGCGTTGGGGACAATTTCAAAGAAATTGAAATCTAGGAAGCAATTAAATAACTCACCATGATCGGTGGCAGACGTAGGACCAAATATCCAAGGGGTCAAAATAAATGTTTCTAAATTTATCATGCTTTATATAAACTTATATATGATATAAATAACATACTAATATATATTTTAAAATAGTCTCAAAATACAATTACTCAAAATAGATATCTTAGTTCTTTCAAGTCACAAAAAATCATCTATAATCAAATCCATATTAAAATTTTCAATAATTTCTTTTTTAATATACATTAACAAATAATTGAAAAGAAAGTCATCTTACATCTTGTTACGAAGCTTAGTCTTTACTATACTTATAGCTGAAAATGACTCGCTCCATTGTAGCTATAAAAATTGAAAGAGTAATAATAAGTATTATCACTCTATATACAAGTGGATAATTTTCAAATTTTCTTGTCTTTATCGGCCATTAACACAAATTAGATACAATAGAAGAATTTTGTAGAAGGATTTTCAGAATTTAAAAGATCGGGATCAATAGAACAAGTTGACTCCTCATTAGAGTTTAAAATGGCAAAATTCTTACTTTTAAAAAATGCATCGATGGTATGTGACTTTTTCTTCTATAATAAAAATAAATTACAAATATGAGTATACAACAATTTCTAAAGTGCGATATGTAACAAATTACAAATTCACTTAAAATACAAATAAGATATTCAAATTTTCAAACAAAATACATAAATAGACCACCACTCAAGTTTATTGGGAGCTACCCCCAAGCTCACCGGTATATGTACCTAAAAATATTAAGGATTATAATAGTACCGGCCACTCTACTAGTAAGTTGAATATATTTCAAAATAGTCACTTTAGTAATATAAAAATTATAAAATATAAACAAGAAAACTCGTTATTATAAATAAACAAACAATTGAGAATCTAGTATTCTAATAAATACCTTAATCACATAACATAAAATTAGGAAGACAACTCGATCTAATATTTTAATTATAAAATATTATCTAAAAAAGAAAATTAGGAGTTTTCAATATTCAATCAATATATAAAATGAAAAACTTAATAAATTAATAATGTAAACAATATAATAAGAATTAATTAATTACTAATTTTTTAGTAAAACATCGATTGCGTTGTCAAATAAGAAAAACCCGGATCGTAGAAAAGGTTTTTTTTTTTTTTTGAAAAGAGTAAGAGTTAAGGGAAAAGAAAGAAGGAACGGGTTTAACGGTGATGGGAGATAGCTATGATCAAATTAAACAAATATGTGATGTTTAGTAGTGATCCAAAACATGATAAATTTACCCCCTAGCAAACACATAAAAATTGCTATTCAAAGTCATCATAAAAAAAAAGGGAAAAAAACTCAAGCCATGTGTGTTTTGTCTCAAGTGGGGGCATATTCATGCGGGGTTAATACGGGGTAAGGCGGGGACTATGCTGGGTTTGTTTTACTTAGTTACTCATGTACAAGGAAAAAAAAACAAAAGTTGGAGGGGGGCCCCGTAAGATATTCCGATATAGGTAAAAAAAAAAAAAAAATGTTAAAGGGGGGCTTAGGCCCTCGTAGCACTACATGTGCATTCGCCCCTAACCATGATCATGACCTAACCTCATGTGATTTTTTCTTCTACCCTCCTCCTTATTTCTATCATTTCATGGATAATTTTAATATTTATGATGAGTTATTTACATGCTCGGTGCAAATGTTAGTGGCCTTAATCCCAATCGCCCATGAGATGCCTACTAGCTGGTTCAATAAATCTTCCAACCCAATCCTTTTTTTTATAATAATCATATATATATATATATAGGCATCGGTATAGTATATTTATTGATAATTTTTTTTAAAAAAAGGAAATTAAACGTAATATTTGAATCCAAAAAATAAAATAAAATAATAAATATTTTTATTCACTATAAGAAAAAACAAACAATTAGTGATGGATTATTCCATTACCAATTGACCAAAATCCATTGTTAAAGCGAGTTATCGAGGTGTTGCGATGAACAATAAGGTCGTCGCTAAAACACTTATTGCTAAAACCGGCAACGAAAAGGATCATCGACGGTATTTATGTCGCTAAAATTATCCATCCATTGCTATTTGGGTCATGAGACCCGTCGTGACTACTCGTTGTTAATTTGT